GCGGCGTTGACACGACAGAGAAGCAAGACCCTCAAGACCCCCCTGGACATCTGTGGGGCGTTGCACCGGTGGGTCACACAGAGACCCATAGACTCACCATAGAGACCCATAGACTCATCACACAGAGACCCATAGACTCACCACACAGAGATCCACAGACTCACCACACAGAGACCCACAGACTCACCACACAGAGACCCATAGACTCACCACACAGAGACCCATAGACTCACCACACAGAGACCCATAGACTCACCACACAGAGACCCATAGACTCACCACACAGAGACCCATAGACTCACCACACAGAGACCCATAGACTCACCACACAGAGACCCACAGACTCACCACACAGAGACCCACAGACTCACCACACAGAGACCCATAGACTCACCACACAGAGACCCACAGACTCACCACAGAGACCCATAGACTCACCACACAGACACCCACAGACTCATCACACAGAGACCCACAGAGACCCATAGACTCATCACACAGAGACCTACAGACTCACCACACAGAGACCCACAGACTCACCACACAGAGACCCACAGACTCACCACACAGACACCCACAGACTCATCACACAGAGACCCACAGACTCACACAGACACCCACAGACTCATTACACAGAGACCCACAGACTCACACAGAGACCCATAGACTCATCACACAGAGACCCACAGACTCACCACACAGAGACCCACAGACTCACACAGAGACCCACAGACTCACCACACAGAGACCCACAGACTCACACAGAGACCCACAGACTCACCACACAGAGACCCACAGACTCACACAGAGACCCACAGACTCACCACACAGACACCCACAGACTCATCACACAGAGACCCACAGACTCACCACACAGAGACCCACAGACTCACCACACAGAGACCCATAGACTCATTACACAGAGACCCACAGACTCACACAGACACCCACAGACTCATTACACAGAGACCCACAGACTCACACAGAGACCCATAGACTCATCACACAGAGACCCACAGACTCACCACACAGAGACCCACAGACTCACACAGAGACCCACAGACTCACCACACAGAGACCCACAGACTCACACAGAGACCCACAGACTCACCACACAGAGACCCACAGACTCACCACACAGAGACCCACAGACTCACACAGAGACCCACAGACTCATTGTTTGCGAATGGCGGCTGTTGTTTGCAAGCCAGCAGGAAGGATTGAAGGTGAACTTCATTTTCACGTAACTTGACGTCACCTTCTATTGACCAGGGTGATGCCGTGACCCCCCCACAATCATCCTGCACGTGACCCCCCCTCCGCCCCGGGTTCAGAGGTCAACTCGTCGGCGCGGATCCTGCACCATGGCGACGCTTCTCCTGCTGTGAGTCAATGTCACATTCATCTCCCGTAGGAGTCAATGTCACATTCATCTCCCGTAGGAGTCAATGTCACATTCATCTCCCGTAGGAGTCAATGTCACATTCATCTCCCGTAGGAGTCAATGTTACATTCATCTCCCGTAGGAGTCAATGTCACATTCATCTCCCGTAGGAGTCAATGTCACATTCATCTCCCGTAGGAGTCAATGTCACATTCATCTCCCGTAGGAGTCAATGTCACATTCATCTCCCGTAGGAGTCAATGTCACATTCATCCCCCGTAGGAATCAATGGCACATTCATCTCCCGTAGGAATCAATGGCACATTCATCTCCCTTAGGAGTCAATGTCACATTCATCTCCCGTAGGAGTCAATGTCACATTCATCTCCCGTAGGAGTCAATGTCACATTCATCTCCCGTAGGAGTCATGTCACATTCATCCCCCGTAGGAATCAATGTCACATTCATCTCCCGTAGGAGTCAATGTCACATTCATCTCCCATAGGAGTCAATGTCACATTCATCTCCCGTAGGAGTCAATGTCACATTCATCTCCCGTAGGAGTCAATGTCACATTCATCTCCCGTAGGAGTCAATGTCACATTCATCTCCCGTAGGAGTCAATGTCACATTCATCTCCCGTAGAAGTCAATGTCACATTCATCTCCCATGGGAGATTACTGAAGCGCAACCCTCACACCGTCGCTGGGTGGGTGTTGGCTAAACCCCCCGCCCGGGACAGATGGGTGAGCAGGTTTGAGACAACGTAGGTGAGGGCAGCGGTAGAGATGCAGAGTTTTAAAAGTCGCTGAGTGTGTAGTCACTGTGTGCAAAGTCGCTGAGTGTAGTGTTGCTGTGTGCAGAGTTTCTGAGTGCAGAGTCGCTGAGTGTGTAGTCACTGTGTGCAGAGTCGCTGAGCGCAGTGTTGCTGTGTGCAGAGTTGCTGTGTGCAGAGTCGCTGAGTGTAGTGTTGCTGTGTGCAGAGTTCCTGAGTGCAGAGTCGCTGAGTGTGTAGTTACTGTGTGCAGAGTCGCTGAGCGCAGTGTTGCTGTGGGCAGAGTTGCTGAGGGCTGGATAGGTGAGGTGCAGAATAGATGAGAGCAGGGAGAAGTCAAGTGTATGTGACAGTAAAGATAGATGTAGCAGTGCCTACAACTGGCGCATGAACAGGTATAATACATTTACCATGAAAGTGGAAAAGGATGGCAAGCTACCATTCCTGGATGTTTTGATCGAGAAGAGACCTAGTGGCTCGTTGGGACATTCGGTCTACAGGAAAGCCACCCACACAGATACCTATCTAAAGCCTGACTCCCACCGCCATCCAGCCCAGAATAATTCCCTCATCAAAACACTTCAACATAGGGCCCATTGCATCTCCGACCAGCACCACCTCGCTAGTCAGTTGGAACACCAAGCCCTCAGGATGAACGGATACTCAGACCGTACAGTCCGCAAAGCTGCCTCCCCAACCATGGGGAGACAATCTTCGGGGATCCAACCAAAACCATCACTTTACCGTACATAGCAGGGGTTACCAAAAATATTTCCAAAATATTAAACACAAGATCCAGGAGTTACATTGGGGAAACGAAACGACATGTCTCAGACCGTGTTCGTGAACACATGGCAGATATAAAACACGGTAGGACCAATACCTCTGCCGTTTTCTTGGTTCTTTCGGTAAAGTCACGTAGAAGGGAAGTAATAAAATAATAAAAATAAAACATAATAAAACAATTCTCACGACGTTTCGGCCACAACGCAAGCAGCCGTCCTCAGGTGAAAACCAGGTCCGTCGAGGCGACAGAGTCTGAATGAAACAGCACACGAGCTTGGAGCATATATATAAGCTGGGCGCATTGACAAAGGAATTTGCATATCAAAAGGAATTTAGCATATTTATGGGAAATGCAGGAATGTGATTAGTCCTGCATATGCATGTGCATTATGCAGGATTAACAGCATCAAAGGGAGCTGCAGTTACTGTTGCTGCTGAAATTACTGCTGCTGCTGCAGTTTCTGCTGCTGCTGCAGTTGCTGCTGCTGCTGCACTTGCTGCTGCTGCTGCACTTGCTGCTGCTGCTGCTGCACTTGCTGCTGCTGCAGTTGCTGCCTTATCCATTTTAATATAACACTATGTATTATTCTACCCACCCTAATGTGTATCACACTGCTATATGTTTACTATACAATTACGACACCATACATTACTCTGCACACTGCACCATGCCAGTGAGTGGAACGCGGTCTGAAAGTCACCGTAAACGTGAACACAATCAGTTAAGATCCGAAATGGTTTATTACGTCCTTCCAATGATTGCTAAGCCAGAATCCATCTTCTCGGTTGAAATTGTCTCTGTGTTTGTATATGTGGATCGCCTCATGAACGAATCTCTCATGATAGCCAGATGGCTTGCAGAGAACCTCTGTCTTGGAGAAGTCAATGTCATGTGAGCCCACTGAATTGTAACAGTGATCTGCCACGGCTGAGGTGTTTGTCCTACCGTGTTTCAGGTCTGCCTTATGTTCACGGATGCGGTCCGAGACATGTCGTTTGGTTTCTCCAATGTAACTCTACCACAGAGGCAACTTAGTTTGTAGACGCCAGGGTACTGTATGTCTGGAACCACATATTTTACAGACGGGACCAGATCACGGATTTTATGTACTGTGTTGAATCGGACCTGGATCTTGTGTTTAATCAGGATTTTGGAGATCTTTTTTGTGACCCCAGCAATGTAGGGTAAGGTGATGGTCTTGAAAGGCTCCTGAACAGGATCCTTCTTGATGGTTGGAGTGATGGCTTTGCGGATTGTGTAGTCGGAGTAACATTAGCCTTAAGAGCTTGGCGTACGTGTTTGAGTTCACTGGAAATGTGTTCATGGTCGGAGATGCATTGGGCTCTATGATATAGAGTCTTGATGAGGGAATTCTTCTGGGATGGATGGTGGTGGGAATCCGGTTTTAGATAAGCATCCGTGTGGGTGGCTTTCCTGTAGACAGAGTGGCTCATTGAACCATCAGGTCTCCTTTTGATTAGGACATCCAAAAAGGGTAGCTTGCCATCATTTTCGACTTCCATGGTGAATCTGATGGCTGGGTGTATGGAATTGATGTGGTCGAGAAATTGGTCTAGAGCAGGCCGGCCATGTGGCCAGATGACAAAAGTGTCGTCTACGTACCTCTTCCATAAGGTCGGGCGTAGAGTGGCAGTCTGGATGGCGTCCGTCTCAAATTTCTCCATGAAGATGTTGGCTACAACCGGAGATAGGGGGGAGCCCATTGGGGTGCCCTCAATTTGCTTGTAGAAGGTTCCATTCCAGGTGAAGTATGTATTGGTTAAGCAGTGTCTCACCAGGGGGGGTACCCCAGCATTCAGTCCTTGATGAACCAAGTCTTCAATGATTGCGATGGTGTCAGGCACAGGCACCTTGGTGAACAAGGAAACCACATCAAAACTGACAAGCAGGTCGTCTGGGACAGGGCAATCCCCTTGATTGTCGATACCAGGTCAGTAGAATTTAGTACTGCAGAGGTGGTTTTTCCAGTGAAAGGCCGATTTCTGATTTCTGCTTCAACCGCATTAATTGATCAGACCAAACAGTTCTCGTTGAAACCTTCTGCAGCCAGGCCACCAAGATTGTACGGCTTGCCAAAGATACATAAAGAAGATACACCTCTTCGTCCCATTGTCTCTACTATCAACTCCCCCACTTACAAACTGGCTCGTTTTTTGTCCGAAATCCTACGGCCTTTCACTGGAAAAACCACCTCTGCAGTACTAAATTCTACTGACCTGGTATCGACAATCAAGGGGATTGCCCTGTCCCCAGACGACCTGCTTGTCAGTTTTGATGTGGTTTCCTTGTTCACCAAGGTGCCTGTGCCTGACACCATCGCAATCATTGAAGACTTGGTTCATCAAGGACTGAATGCTGGGGTACCCCCCCTGGTGAGACACTGCTTAACCAATACATACTTCACCTGGAATGGAACCTTCTACAAGCAAATTGAGGGCACCCCAATGGGCTCCCCCCTATCTCCGGTTGTAGCCAACATCTTCATGGAGAAATTTGAGACGGACGCCATCCAGACTGCCACTCTACGCCCGACCTTATGGAAGAGGTACGTAGACGACACTTTTGTCATCTGGCCACATGGCCGGCCTGCTCTAGACCAATTTCTCGACCACATCAATTCCATACACCCAGCCATCAGATTCACCATGGAAGTCGAAAATGATGGCAAGCTACCCTTTTTGGATGTCCTAATCAAAAGGAGACCTGATGGTTCAATGAGCCACTCTGTCTACAGGAAAGCCACCCACACGGATGCTTATCTAAAACCGGATTCCCACCACCATCCATCCCAGAAGAATTCCCTCATCAAGACTCTATATCATAGAGCCCAATGCATCTCCGACCATGAACACATTTCCAGTGAACTCAAACACGTACGCCAAGCTCTTAAGGCTAATGGTTACTCCGACTACACAATCCGCAAAGCCATCACTCCAACCATCAAGAAGGATCCTGTTCAGGAGCCTTTCAAGACCATCACCTTACCCTACATTGCTGGGGTCACAAAAAAGATCTCCAAAATCCTGATTAAACACAAGATCCAGGTCCGATTCAACACAGTACATAAAATCCGTGATCTGGTCCCGTCTGTAAAAGATGTGGTTCCAGACATACAGTACCCTGGCGTCTACAAACTAAGTTGCCTCTGTGGTAGCAGTTACATTGGAGAAACCAAACGACATGTCTCGGACCGCATCCGTGAACATAAGGCAGACCTGAAACACGGTAGGACAAACACCTCAGCCGTGGCAGATCACTGTTACAATTCAGTGGGCTCACATGACATTGACTTCTCCAAGACAGAGGTTCTCTGCAAGCCATCTGGCTATCATGAGAGATTCGTTCATGAGGCGATCCACATATACAAACACAGAGACAATTTCAACCGAGAAGATGGATTCTGGCTTAGCAATCATTGGAAGGACGTAATAAACCATTTCGGATCTTAACTGATTGTGTTCACGTTTACGGTGACTTTCAGACCGCGTTCCACTCACTGGCATGGTGCAGTGTGCAGAGTAATGTATGGTGTCGTAATTGTATAGTAAACATATAGCAGTGTGATACACATTAGGGTGGGTAGAATAATACATAGTGTTATATTAAAATGGATAAGGCAGCAACTGCAGCAGCAGCAGCAAGTGCAGCAGCAGCAGCAAGTGCAGCAGCAGCAGCAAGTGCAGCAGCAGCAGCAACTGCAGCAGCAGCAGAAACTGCAGCAGCAGTAATTTCAGCAGCAACAGTAACTGCAGCTCCCTTTGATGCTGTTAATCCTGCATAATGCACATGCATATGCAGGACTAATCACATTCCTGCATTTCCCATAAATATGCTAAATTCCTTTTGATATGCAAATTCCTTTGTCAATGCGCCCAGCTTATATATATGCTCCAAGCTCGTGTGCTGTTTCATTCAGACTCTGTCGCCTCGACGGACCTGGTTTTCACCTGAGGACGGCTGCTTGCGTTGTGGCCGAAACGTCGTGAGAATTGTTTTATTATGTTTTATTTTTATTATTTTATTACTTCCCTTCTACGTGACTTTACCGAAAGAACCAAGAAGATGAATCCCTGCAGTCACAAAAGCTTTAAATCGAAACCTCTGCCGTTGCTGTGGGCGCACACGAAAAATATTTTTCCAAGACGGAGGTACTCTGCAAACCTACCGGCTACCTTCAGAGATTTGTTCATGAAGCTATGCAGATATATAAATACAGACACAACTTCAACCGAGAAGATGGGTACAAACTAAGCAATCATTGGAACGACGTTATTAACCAGGTACAGTCTTAACTGACTGTGATGTTTCCATCCTACCTGCTTATGTCAGCTGTTATTTCCGACTCTCTGTGTGTCTCTCTCTCTATGCGTCTCTCTTAGATCTAGCACATGCCCTTTGGATTGTACTCTCATGGTGCTAATCTCTCATTAACACTGGTGTTGTCCTCATATGCGAGCATGATACTCTTATGCAGCAATGGAAGCTCATTCAAGCTAATCTCTCTCCCTAATCCTCTCTCCCTAATCTCCCCCATTAACACGTCTGACGTGCTTGCGTCCGTGAATGGAATTCCTTTCCAGGTTAGACCCCGCTTGCTTGCCCATCGCCACGTATATAACCTCGTTGTAACTGCTCTCTCGCTGGTTCAGCAGTTCCACTGCTGGATTATATTTTTTCCGCCTGAGGACGACCGCTTGTGTTGCTATGATTTATTTTATTTTATACCTACGTGACTTTACCGAAATAACCAAAGCGTTTCGGAGTAATAAAGTGTAAGCAGGTGACTTGTTACCACGTCTCGGTGTGAGTAATTTTTAAGGACACTACATTTGGTGTTAGAAGTGCTGACGATCCTTCGCCGGCATGTCCAAAGCAGCAGTAAAATGTAAAAAACCCACCTGTTGCGTCGTCCGACAACGACGCCGAGCAAGACATCGTTCCTCCAACAGCTCCTGTTGCCGGAGGTCCAAGCAACTGCTGTGACGACGTGCTTCAGTCAGCTCAGGAGTGCGTGGCGAGTCCAGCCCAGCCGCCTCCTCCACAGAGCTGGCTGGACATCGCCGGCCCCCTGGCGAAGATTGCCGTCATCTCTTTGAGCGCATGACGGCTGCGACTTCCGCTGGACACCAAGACACGCTTTCCACCGCTGCCATGGTCGACGTGACTGGGGCGCTGCCATTTCGGTGGCTGCAGCCGTGCTCCAACCGTCCTCCATTTCGGGCGATCCGCCTTCCAAGGTTGAAGCTGCCTCTTCGCCCTTGCTGGACACTTCCAAGTCCTGATGGCTGCCACCGGTGCGTCAGTTCACTGGTGCGGGAGGAGATTGGACGGCTTTTCGTCGTCGATTCGAGGCCGCCTACTCCTTGGCGGGACGGACATCCCATGAGGTGCTTCGAGCTCTTCCGACGGCCCTCGACGACGACTCGTTAGCCGCTTTTTTTGCCATCCCCTTGAGCGGCGCCTACACCGAGGTGGCCGCTATGTTTGATCCCCCCGTTTAATGTTCGGAGAGGATTCAGGCTTCGGCGACGGGGAGGAAACGAGACGCCGCTGGCTTACCGCAGTGCGCTCCTCGCCTCGGGGCACGCAGCCTTCCCTCGCACGGACAGAGTCGCCTTGGATTCCCTCGCCTTGAAGCGGCTTCTCTCCTTGGCTCGGGAGTTGGGGATCGCCCTCGCGGTGGCAGAGGAAGAAGGCGACCTGACTCTCTGCAGGTGGCCCGCGGCATCCAAGCACACCTCAACCACAAGGACTGGCCGGCAGTGGACGAGCGGACGTGTGCCTCTTTCGCCCGGGGGATCGGACGGAAGGAGCGTCGGCCTGCGCCCATCAGCAGAGGAATGGCGCCCTGAGCTGAGCCGGCCGCCTGGGCGTTCTTCCCGGACCTGCTATAGGGGCGGCCGCCCGGGTCGCATCGCCGTCGACCGCCGCTATGGGACCGGCGGGTTCTCGTCGCCTCCGTCCTCTGGCTTCAACACCTCCCTCCCCCTTCCGAAATACACAGGCGAGTCCGGACACATCAGACACACGCCCGTTCTTGTCCCATCATCCATCTCACCCTGTGAAAACTCGCACCGTCGTGACTCGTGCACAGGGCATGGGGTCGCTAGTGTGTTGGCCACGCGGCGTCAAACAGTGGAACGCACTGGCTCATCACGTAGTGGGGGTTCTTCAACAGTGATGGGGTTAATTCAGGGGATCCAGGTTCGTCTGTTGATAGACACAGGGGCCGTGGTGACTACGGTCTCCGAGGCTGTGTGTCGTATGTTGCCTTCGCCGTCCGATCGTCTTGCCGCCGTGGGAAGCGCTTGTGTGGCGGCTAACAGAGGGAGTCTGGCCATAATGGGTCAGATGGGCACCGATTTTATAGGCAGAATGCCCTTGAAAATTCTCATCGACCAGGGGTGTATTGAAATGCCATTGGGAAAGCGATTGCTGTTTCCGAACTCCCCCGGTTGTGAGCCATCGCAGAACGCCGTCATTCGAGCGATGGCCGGCGGAACCCTTAAAGTTCCTCCGGGCTCCCAAAATGCTCGTTCCGCTGCGATTGCGCAAAGAGTTGCCTGCAACGGCGGGCCCGGAGGAGGGTGTCCTGCTAACCCCTTCGAACGCCGTGTCGCGATCTCCTTCCCTTGCGGGGCGACGGCTATTGTATCCGCCGAGCGGGTGCCGTTCCTACAAGTACTCAATTCGGGGCATGCGCCGGTTGTGATTCAGGCGGTCACTGTCCTGGCGCTTGCCACGGTGGCCCGGTGTTTTGATAGCACGGAGCCATTTCCTGGTTTCGCGGGAAGCGTTGGTGAAGCTGATGAGCCGGACTCCGCATGGTTGGAATCTCTTTGCTCTTAGAAACCCGGACTGACGGAGGCTCAGCGAGCTCAGCTGCGCCAGCTCACACGTGATTTTTTTCGATGTAAATTTCGATGTAAAGCTTTCGTGACTGCAGGGATTCATCTTCTTGGTTCTTTCGGTAATGTCACGTAGAAGGGAAATAATAAAATAATAATAATAAAACATAATAAAATACAATTCTCACGACGTTTCGGCCACAACGCAAGCAGCCGTCCTCAGGTGAAGAACAGGGCTGTCTTCCGGGCGGACGGGTTCTCCTCTCCCGAATCAGGCAGGCGCGTGTGGCGGCGGGGACGTCTCGCCGCGGCCGGGGACGTGAGCGCGCGGCACCTGAGGTCGGGATCGCACGACTCCGCTGAGGACAAACCTCGGCGGGAACACACCTCGGCTCACCAGACACATCTCGGTGTGGTGATGGAACGAACTCCCGTGGCGCAATGAAAGGCTTGAGGCGCGAGGGATGTACAAAGCAACTCCGCCGAATCCGAGCGCACTGCGGTCCAACGACCCGAATCGCATCAACCGACCCCCTCCAGGGTTTAAACAATTTGGACGACGTGCCCACCGGTACCTGTGGACAGTGCAACCAGCCTCTGTGCCCTGGCACCCACTCATGTGTGGAAGGACGGGGACCCCTCAGCCGCGCATTTGCCAATTGGCGCGAATTGGAATTCTCCCTGGAAGCCTCCCGCGCTTCGGAAAGCTTCTGAAGAGTAAAAGGCACGGAGTCAGCCATTTTGGATTTAGTCCTGTTTGGCGCGGCTCGTAACTGGACTTCAATCGGGGGGTCGTGTTCTCTCCCGTACAGAAAAAAAAACGGTGAGTAGCCAGTGGATGGAGTGACATCTGCTATGTCACTATATGCTAATTAATCTCCCATAGGACTCAAAGTTACATAATCTTCAATAGGAATCAATGTACTGTTTAATCTCCCATATGGTTCTATGTGTGTCTCCCCGTGTGTATGTGTGTCTGTCAGTCTGTGTACGTATGTTAGTGACTCCCTAACTGTCTGCATATGTGAGTGTGTGTGTCTGTGAGTGTGTCTGTGTGGAAGCTACCTGGTCTGTCGCTCCGCACGAAGCTTCGGGTCTTCTCGGCCACAGTCATTCCCTCCCTTCTCTACGCTTGCGAAACGTGGACCCCCCTAATGAACATCTTCACGGTTGAAACATTTAGGCTGGCCTGCCTACGATCCATCCTGGGTTTAACCAGGCTGGATTGTGTGAGGAGCTCACAAATCCTTGAAAGATCTGGACAAAGTCCCATCGGTGAGCTCCTCCGGCAGGCAAGGCTGCGTTGGCTGGGTCATGTAGCCCGCATGCCCAGCCACCGCATGCCAAACAGCTTTTGTTCGGCCGGATCGAGGGGGCTAAACGGGCGCGGCACGGGCTAGAGAAGAGATGGAGTGATGTGGTACAGGAGGACGTGGAGCTGAGTGGACTTGCCGATGACTGGTACCAGCGGTGTCAAGATCGGCCTCTGTGGAGGAGGCTCGTGAAGGACGCTACTGGGCAGTTGGAGGCAGTCGCCCTCCAACAACAACGGAGGGCGGAGGAGCGACGCTCACAACAACGAGCGGAGCGCCGGGTGGCTAAAGCACAGCAAGTTGGCACAGTAGGGGCACAGGTGGTGCATCAGCCAGTCATCTCAGTCAGTCGACCCGTGGCACCTGGGTCTGCCCCGTGACCTCCTGCCAGCGGGCGTTCGACACTTCACGTGGCCTCAAGGTGCACATAGCCTGGCACAAGCGTCGTGGTGACGTCACCGCCACTTAGTGGCGAATGGCGGTTGTTGTTGTTGTGTGTGGAGCGGTGGGCGTAGTGGTTAGCGCGTGCGCTATGAACCCGGCACCGGGTTCGATTCCGCTCACGGCCAACACCAGTGACGATTATCTGAACCGGTCCTGGGCCTCCCCTAGGTCGACTCAGCCTCAAATGAGTACCTGGTGCGGTGTGTAAACATCGCCACTGGGGAGACAAAGGCGGTCGGGCGTGGTGCTGGCCACCCACCCCCTCGTGTGCCGTTCCGGCCTTCATAGGTGCTCGCTAACAGCACTTGCCCCAACAGTCTGTTAAGGCTAACGGGGGATCTTTGTCTTTGTGCCCCTAGGTGTTGGTTGTCACTGGCGCTCTACCCACAGGTACAGGTGAGCGTGGAGCGCGCTTGCACTAACGCACGGGTCCCTCTATGCCTGTCTGTGTGCGGGGAGAGGGTAGCAATCATACAAGGGATCCCAGGTTAGTCTCTACGAGTCTCTATGAGTCTCCATCTACCTCTATGAGTCTCTGTGGTATCTCCATGACAACCCCGTCCCCCAGCTGGCCGGGTCTCCTCCCTCCTCGTGGGTCTTCGATCGCCACGTGCAGGAGGCGTCGCGTCGGCTCCGACGACTTGTCGCGCCGTGTCGTGCGCACCTACCAGCTGTACTCGCGCGCCAGCGGGGCCCACGTGCAGGTGCTGGGCCCACAGATCGTGGCGCGCGGGGGGGACGGGGACCCCTACGGTGAGACGGGGCTAGAGCCACAGAGAGCCACACAGAGAGCCACAGAGAGACCCATAGACTCGTCACACAGAGACCCACAGAGACCACAGACTCACCACACAGAGCCACAGACTCACCACACAGAGACCCACAGACTCACCACACAGAGACCCACAGACTCACTCACACAGAGACCCATAGACTCACCACACAGAGACCCACAGACTCATCACACAGAGACCCACATACTCACCACACAGAGACCCACAGACTCATCACACAGAGACCCACAGACTCACCACACAGAGACCCACAGACTCATCGCACAGAGACCCACAGAGACCCACAGACTCACCACACAGAGACCCACAGACTCACCACACAGAGACCCACAGACTCACCACACAGAGACCCACAGACTCACCACACAGAGACCCACAGACTCCACTCACACAGAGGACCATAGACTCACCACACAGAGACCCACAGACTCATCACACACTATCTTACCTGAGTACTGCTAGAGTGAATTAGCGCACTGCGGGTTGACTATTGTGCGACAGCCGAGGGTCAGGCCCGAATTTTTAACAGCGACCCCGACTTTGGTGGCAACCATTACAAAAGTCCACGCTCTAGTTCCTGCGTTATGACGATAGGCTCTCTTATACTGACGCATCAAAATTCGAGGAGGCCCCTTAGAGGGACCCATAATTCGTCTTGGCCAAGTTGCGAATATCTATTGCCTGAACTCGTAGGTTGCTGCTTGT